GTTTGAACCCATGATCTCCTCCTTTTGTGTCCAATCATTTTGCCATTAAACTGGAATGAACTTGCAATCTATTATTTCATAATTAAATACACACACACACACACACACTATTAAACTACACAAAAGAGCGCGCACGCGCACACATATTAAATATTAAATATTAAAAAATATCATTACTATCCTTAAATACTTCAATTTAATTCTTTTAATTTATAAAATTGCAAATTATATTATTTATTTTGTTTAAAGTAAACTATAAATATAATTGATACAATATCATTTGTATTATTTATTTTAATTTTTTTTACTTCATGAGGTTGTTATATTATTTATTTTAATATTCATATTTATAATTGTAATAAAAAAATATTTAAGAATAAATAGTAAAAATACTAATGATTATACATTAGTTTATAATTATTTATGTTTCTAAACTAGCATCAAGCTTTAAAGTTACTGGAGTTAAATGTAGAATTTGAATTGAAAAATTAAATTAGATGAAATATCATTTTATGAATGAATAAATTTAAGTATCACATGTTTAATTATTATAAACATGTAGTTTTATTGACTTCTACATTGATTTGATGACTTATGCTTACTCTCTCTTCTATTCTATTTTGAATATTTAAGATTTTTCACTTATTAGTTATAATTTTAAATTTAATTTGTTTTATTTTAGTTATTAATTAGTCAAAAAATATATATTAAAAATTTCATGCTTATTTTGGCCATTAAACATCTCAAGTAGCTTTTGAATAAAATTATCCAAATAGGTTTTAGTTTATCTAACTAACTTCTAAAAAAAGAAACATATCCAAACGTAAATCATATTACATTTATTGAGTTTTCTTCTAATCTTAGTTTGCTAACCTTGGTTGAATCTTAACCTCAGTTGTAAATCTTTTTAATATAAACACACATTTAAAATAATATGTTTTGGTTTAATTCTTTACTTTAGCTCATTAGCATTAAATAATACTTTAACATTATTTTAAAGTTACAATTTAACTATAGAATATATTAAATAAAAACTCCTTATGTTATTTTATATATTCATTATAAAATTACAATAATACAACAAAATTAATGTCTTAAAATTTTAAATATTAGATAAATAAAAATAAAAAATTATGGTGATAATACAAAATCAAACTTTCGTGGCAACATTCAAAGTCGCCGCTAAAAGTCTTATTTTCAACGGCAGCACTAAAAAGTTACTGCTGATTCTGAACTTTCAACGGCGACTTATATGTCGCTGCTGAAACTATAACATAAGTTTTTTTAAAAAAATTATAACATATTTTAAAATATGTTGACAATCAACGACGATATTAAAAAGTCACCGCTGATTCTGAACTTTCAGCGGTAACTTATACGTCGCCGCTGAAAATATAAGTTTTTTTAAAAAATTATAACATATTTTAAAATATATTGACAATCAACGGCAACATGCTAATTCTCAACTTTCAGCAGCAACTTATATGTTTCCGCTGAAACTTACAACATAAGGTTTTTTTTAAATTATAACATATTTGAAAATATGTTGACAATCAGCGGTGATATTAAAATGTCACCGCTGATTCTCAACTTTTAGTGAAAACTTATATGTCGCTGCTGAAATTGAGGCCTTCGAGGGGGACATGCACTTGTCGCCGCTGAAAGTCTAACAATTAGCGGCGACTATATCTTGTCACCGTAGAAAGTCACTATTTCAGCAGTCACTTTAAATGTTGCCATAGAAAGTCACACTTTCAGCAGCGAATTTTACTATCATCATAGATTGTTCATTTTTAGTAGCCACTTTTTAGAGTCACCGCTGAAAGTTGTTGCTGAAAGTTATTTTTTTTGTAGTGTATTGACCATGGTGAGTGGCCCTTATGCCACAAGCCACAACGAATGTACATATAGCCGCAACAGACATGCCATTTTAATTGAAAATGACTTTTTGGCCCCTTTTTTAACCCATCATAAATGTTCATCCCTTTCATGTTACTGCAGTACTTTTTTAGATTAATTTTAAATGTTTTTCAAGGGCCTTAACTTGTACATATACTTTTAATTTTGTGGGTTCCGATCTACTCAAATATTATTTATAGACAATCTTTGGAGTTTCAAATGGCATAGGTTGATCCTATCTTTCTTTGATTTCTTCCTAAATTTAATTAATCGGTTTATACTGTGATTATGTGTAGAATAAGGATGCACAAGGGACTGACCCAACAAGACTTTTGCGTAAGCAGAAGTCTAGTTCTTTTCATGAAAAGGACTTAGTTAAACAACCAATGGTCTAATCTGGTCTTAGTATAACCCAAAGCCGAACAAGATTAGACTAGTCTAGTAGGACTATAAGATCGATCCCAGTCTGATCTAGTATCTCACTTTGTTTTTTCTCTTTTCATTTATAAGAGATGATAATTTATTCCAACATAATAAAGTCAATTGACATAATAAAATAAATTAGAGTCATAAAATTCATCACAACAACAATAATTATAAATCTACAATAATCTCCAACAACAACAAAAAGTATTTCAGTTACAATATAAATGATTCAAATTAAATAACCTTTAATAACATTAATCAACCTTTAATATGTCTAAAGTCCATTATACCAAATTGACAACAAATTTCACTAATAAAAGGAGAAGATTGAGGTTGTTCAATGCTAGAATTTTGCTCAAAATTCATGATTTCACAAGTATAAAACCAAAACAATACTAATTATTATTATAAATTAACTTATTATGATAATAATTAATAAATTAATTATAATTATATTAATAAATTTATATGACCAAACCGGACCAAGTGGTCTAAATGCTTGGTCTCTTATTCAGTTCAACCGAAAAAATAATCTGATCTTTTTAGTTCTGAAAGACCAATTTTTATCTGGATCAGATAAGACAGTGTTTGTCTCAGGTTGAACTAGATCAAATTGGACTGGAGGACTTTTGCACAGCCCTAGTAGAGAATGATATAAGTCATCATAGAGCTTGCTAAGCATCTATTTAAGCCCATTTTTTAATAAGGGTTCAAGATTAAAAAAATTAACATTTTTAAGGAAAAATAGGCTTTGAAGTTTGGTTATGATAGACCCCAAAAAAAGGGCTCAAGCTTGGGTCACTAGTTGACGCCCGTTTTTGTTTCACTTCTAAAAATAAAATATTTTTAAATTTTTAAATTAAATTTAAATTTTAGAATATATATTTATTTTTAAAAATTTGAATTTTTATTATTTATTTTAAATTTTTGAACTTTATAATTTGTATTTTAAAGAAATATGAAATATTATAATTAAAATTTTAATTTTAAAAATTTAAAAAAATAAAAAAAAGGGCTAATAAGCATGACCTTAAGCCTTTTGAATAAAAGTCAGGCTTTAAAAATAATTAATTTTTGAATAATCGAGCTTGTGAATTTGAGCCCATATGAGCCCATTTCACTCTTTTTCCAGTAGGAAGAGGCAGCTACCAAAGCACCAAAAAAAAAAATCTAGGAATTTCACAGCTTTCCCTTTTACAGTGTTCATAATCAATAACTATTTAAACTCTAGAGATGCTTGCCTTAGACCAAGCTAGACATTGAATTGAAGATGTTAGTAAGTCACAATTTTTATTGTTCAACTAGTTAGACCAACAATCAAACTGGTAACATTATATAATATCTATAAGAAATGAAATATTGAATTTTAAATAATTTCTTAAAAAAATAGTTTAATTTCATACTATGGTTCAATCCATCATAATTAAATTATTATAATTAAAAATTTTAAAAAATAAAAAAATACATTCAACCATTTTAATCATTTAGATAATATTATATTTTATATAAAAATAAGTATCCAATATAATTATTATGATAATATTAATATGATCCTATTTATAAGATAGAGAGAAAATATTTATTTTAATTTTATTTATAGAGCACCTCAATAATTATTGTATCCATTTTAACCTTTTTTGTCTTTATTAAATATTTAAAAAGTTATTAAATGTTAGAATATTATATTTTTAAAGAATATATATATTTAATAGGATAAAGTTAAAAATTTACTGAATTAAATACAATTGATAATGTTTAAAATTTTTTAATTTTAATAAAAATATTAAAAATGATTAATAAATAAAATTAGAGTATATTTTTTGCACTTGAAATTTGGATCTTGAATATAATAAAGACACGTACTGCAAAATTTCAGTATTTTTCTGTCACACATTTCAATCCTCATTAAATCATCGCATGTAAAAAGATAAAAACCCTCCTTCATCTTATTTTTTGTTTTAATTTTTCTTTTTTTGCAGTTTTTTTTAAGATCAAAGTATATTAATAATAAAAAAAGATTAAAGTTAGTACAATTATGGGGAGAGGGTTACTCTCTTTTTTTCTCTCACTTTTTTTTTTTTTTTTCAATTTTCATCATTAATTTTATTTTATTAAATAAATTTATTTTAACCATAAAATACGAGACGTTAAAAGTGTACGTTAAAAGTGTTGGACAGCTGTGTCCATGGCATCTATCCCAGTTTCTTTTTGCAACTAGCCAGCCAACCTATTTATATTTTATGTGTGGCTGCGTTTTCTCTCTCTTCCTCATTTTTATTTTCGCCGTCGGGATCAGTCTCCATATATCCTTTGTTCAACGTCGCCCTATTCTCACATCATAAATCCATGGTAATTTTTTTTTTGTTATTTATTAAGATATACGTGTATTTTCTCTTCCATTTTCTCCTTCTTTCTGTCCAGTTTTCCTTCTCCTTCCTTTTTTCTCCCTCTTCTATTTTGGCCGTCTGGTTTCCTTCAATCAGCTCCGTGGCTCAAACCCAGTTCCCTGTTCAAAAGCTGCTTCTGAACGCCTCAACCCAGGGCAACTCTTCAAACGGTCCAAAGCTAAAAACGAGCCGGTAAGGTGTCCAACTACGGCCGGACCGGTCCAGGTTTTAAATCACTGCGGCCCTCACCCAACTACTGATCTCCCGTTCTTTATCAACGCAATTTTCTTCAACCTTACAAAGAAAATTGTGAGATTCACAACCTTTGACCTTAAGATGAAACCCAGAGCACTTGATGTTCGCAGGCAAAAGAAGAACTTGCCATTTTAATAATGTTGATGCTTGCTCATTTGTGTTTTCTCCTCCCGTACGTATGTATAAATGTTATACGTATTCAACCTTTCGATTTTATTCTTCCAATAGCTAACAAGTTTAAGGTCGTTGATTTAGCTGGCTCGTCGCCTTCTGTGGGAAAGTTTTCTTCAGAGACTTAAGAAGATGAAGAGTCCTGGTAAAAAAACTTTGGTAAGTGGTAAATTAATTTTACACTTGTATTTCTCCCAACCATAAGATTAATCTAAGGGTCAGGATCCGAATCCGCTTCCGCGTGGACCCCGTCCTCATGCTTTTAAATTGCTTTCTTTTGTGCTCACCATATGCGACACTTTCATCGCTGACCACCCCTCCAATGGGATTCCTGACCAACTGCTTTCGAGGATTTGCTTCTACTAAGAGACCTTCCGCAACCGTAGAAGAACTTTCCCACCGCTTCTCTCTTTCCCAAATTCGAGCAGCAACCAACAACTTGGACGAAAGCCGAATAATCGATGAAGGACGTTTTGGTAAGTTATACAGAGGTCACATCTCGATCGATGGCCAACCAATAGAAATTGCAGTGAAGCATTTTAATTCTCGAGATCTATTCTCAGCACGTTCTGAATTCGTGAACGAGATCCTGTTTATGAGCCAGCTACACCACCCGAATCTGGTGTCCCTCCTTGGATTTTGTGACGATGAATTTAAAGATGAAATGATGGTGGTGTATGAGTTCATGCCTAACGGATCCCTCCACCATCAACTTCACGAAAGGGATAGCAACTCGCCAGCGCTTTCATGGAAGACAAGGCTAGAGATCAGCATAGGAGTAGCGCGTGCACTACACTACCTTCACGTAGGAACCAAGCGCACCATCGTCCATTGTAATGTGAAACCAAGTAACATTCTTTTGGACGACCATTGGAATCCCAAACTGTCAGGATTCGGGCTTTCTTTAAAAGGACCAAAATATTCATCGAAGGAAAAGGCCAAGGACGTGGAAAGGATCGCGGGCACGCTCGGATACATGGCCCTTGAGCATGCTTGTTATGGTAAGGTCTCAAGTAAATGCGACGTCTATAGTTTTGGAATGGTTTTGTTAGGACTAATATGCAGAGTAACACTCTTCCAAATTCTGTGAAAAATTTGTGGCGAGTATGATCAGGAGGAGAAGAATGATGAGGGTAAGGATGAACATGCTTCTTCGCCATCTTTCAAAAATACGGCTGATGATGAGGCAGTTGTTATTCTGCAAAAAGCATTGATGAATGGAGTGACGATCATAAGAATGACGATCAGGAGAGGGAGAATAAGGGTGAAGATGAACATGTTTCGCCATCTTTCAGAAATACAGCTGAGGATGTACGGACTGATTGGAGTGGCGTTGCATCGCAAAGTGATATAAGCAGCCCAGCACCAATTTTCGATATGGCTGAGAGAGTAAGGAGTTTTATGGAAAAGGGAAATATTGGAGAAATAATTGACCATAGTTTGGTAGGAGAGATGGCACCAGAGTGTTGGAGACTGTACATGGACATTGCAGTGAGTTGCGTGAGTAGATATCCGGATGAGAGGCCAGACATGGGTGAAGTTGAAGTGCAGCTTGAACGTGCATTGCACCTACAACAGGAAGCAGATGCCGATGATAGTTTCCACGCTTTCTTGATTTAACTCTCTCTCTCTCCCCTTCATTTTCTCTCTGTTTTTCTTCTTCTTCTTCTTCTTCTTCTTATTCTTCTTCTTTTTTAAATCTTTCTAGCGTCCCAACTCTATCTCACCCCGGGCCACTCCATAATTGTCTTCTTCCTATATTGATTAGCATAGTTGTCTCTTTATATTAATTAGGAGGATATGTTGATATTTGTTTTTCAGAGTAAGTAGTATAAGTTATTATAAACTCAAGAGTATCTTGAGTTTGAGGGGATCGTGTTAAGATATATTGAGATTTATTCTTTAAATTAAGCAATATAAGTTGTTACAAATTTAATAGCATTAATTTTAATTTTAAATGGGAGTGTCGTGATATATTAACTATAAAGATTTATTCTGTTAAGATATTATACATTTTTTTGGGCCAACCGTTAAGATATTATATCTATTGATATTTATTCTATTAAGATTAAGAGAGTATTTTGTATTCATCAGTTATTTTCAGAATATTTTTTAATTATTATTAGGGCAGTTTGTATATTATAAACTTGTCATATCAATAGAGCATTAATTTAAATCTCACTAATAAAAAAATACAAATTAATAAGGGAATTTAACAAAGGATCATCTATTCCTCTCTAAAATACCAAATTAGTGAGACAATTAGTGAGTGATTTGATTTTGTAGCTTGACTTAAAATTAGCGAGAAAATTAGTGATAAACTGTCAAGCTATCAATCACTTTGTAAAATAAGATAATTAGTAATGGATTTAGTGAGAGATTCTGTCACAAACTAATTACTACAAAAAATTTAACTTTTGACAATGACTTTTAAGCATATATTTAATTATTTTTATTTAAAAATAAATATTAAATTTAAAAATTAACTAAAATATTCATAATAAAATTTAAAAATTAACTAAAATATTCATAATAAAATTATGTAATATTTAATATTTTATTTATTTTAAGTTAATTTTCATTAATAAAATAATATTTTATTAAAAATATAATATAAAAAATAATTTAAATAAAATATAAATATTTTTAACATATTGATAGTTGAAAATAGAATTTAATATGTGTGTGTGTTTTTTTTCATAATATATTATTTAATATATTTGTGTAGTAAAATAATACATACTTAATTTCTCATATAATGATTGCAGGTGCCATTTATAACATCTTGGATTTCAAATTTGAAAATTTTAAGTGCTGAGAAGGGTGTTTTAGTCAACTTAAGTGAATTTTTAATTTAATGATGTTTCAAGAATATAAATATGACTATTGGATCCTTAAACAGCCTTGGAAGAGGATTAGGTTGGAGTTTGAACGGGCCATGGCACGAAAAGAGACCCAAAACGTGTGTGGGAATCTCGGTGCCATGCACTGCGGAGGATGCGTTGTAGTAGATGTGCAAAATCTATATTTATTAGCTTCACAATTTAGACCAACAATTAGAAGTGAGAAAGAGTAAAAACAAGAAGGCAATGGAGGACAAGCTTGGAGATACTAGGGCTTGACCTTAGAATCAATTTGGAAGTATTTGGAGCAAGATTTATCCTTGGATAAGCTTCCTACACCTCTTTCTATCCCTTTATGCGATTTTATAAGGTTTTAGGATAAATTAGGATTTGATTTTGATTTTTCTTGGGATATGACTAAACCCATTGACTTAGTTAAAGTCTTAGGTACTCAAAATCTAGTGATTTCAGGATTTAATTAGAGTGATAATTAATAATTATTGCTTAATTGTGTAGATTAAGTGTTGGTTGAGTGGGGTTGTGCATGTTGAACGTGTTGAGCAAATGTAGACCACAACAACTCTTTTTGTGATGAAAGAATTGAGGTAACGAAATAATTTACTCTATTTGATTAAATGTTTAACTACTTGTGAGTAGATATGTATATTGCTATATGTGTTTTGAAAGAATTGCATATTGCAAAAGAAGGATTTTGTACATTTGAATTGATTTTCAAACAACTAAAATTGTGAAAGTTCATTAGATGATTTAATTATGATTTTACTACAAATATGTAATTTGTATGAGAAGTGTGAGCATGATCATGATAAGAGGTAGGAGTTCACCTGTAGGATAGAGTAGTAAAAGTTCATATGGCATATATCTCCTTAGTACCTAATAAGGTACAATGTTGGGGATTATTTCTTTAATATCCATATAGGATACGATATTAAAGATTGACACTTCTTAGCATTAGTGATGCAATGTTAGAGTAACAACACCTTGATTCGTGTGTGACTGGGGGATACCATAGTTTAGAAGTGGGATAGGATACCTTTAACTGGGTGATCTTACCACTGAAGGTGAGCTCAGGCCATTATGAATATGAACTTGGTTCAATAGAGCTTATGATTTCAGTCATGGTGATATGGAAACTCAGATGGTAAAATGATTATGCTAAAGTGGAAATGAATTATGATTATTGAAAAGATTATGTTGACTATGCAAAATGAATGTTTTAACAATTATTAGCTTTATTCCCCTATAGTTGTTCATGTTAATTAATAGTAATAAATTATTTTGTTACTTAGATGTTTATCTCACCTTGTGGTTATATGTTACAAGTAAGGGCTCTGGTAGGGGTAAAGGGAAGGAAGGGACTACTGAGGCTTGTCACATCTGGAAATGCGACGCGGATGGTGCAAGAGCGAAGGTTCCGGCCTTCGGAAGGAAGACTGGAGAAATAGGAGTCGCCACCAAAATTTTGAGGGAAATCTCGAGAAACCGTTTAAAGGTGGATAAAGGTGGTCTGCGAAAATAGAAAATAGGTTCGGGAGTCGATTGAGTGTGGGGAAGGTGTTAGGCACCCCACAACACCCGTTCATAAGAACGGTTACCTGAAGTTTGTTGTGCTATATAAATATAATTTTAAATTATTTTAATTATCCCTTTTATATTCATGTGTTTGATATAAAAATAATAAGAATTAAGTGCGAAATGTTTATTTATTTACGGGGAGGACTTGACTCAGAATCTGACTCTGAGGCCTACGTACCCTACGGTGGGGATCAAAGTCCACGTAGTTCGGGTTTTAAAAGTTGTTGGCAAAAACATTTTTAAAGAGAAATTAATTAGAAATAATTCACCATTTTGTAAATAAAACAATTTCTGAAATTTTGATATATGTGTTTTAAATTGTAAAAAGTAATTTAATTTCAATTAATTTTCTCTATTTTTGAATTTTTGGAAAAGAAAAGGATTTAAAATTATTTTTTTATTTTATGATTGGGAATTTAATTGCAGTTCCTGCAGAGCCTTATTGGCTCCTACGATAATACAATCATTCTAAATATCTGCGGAGATTTCAAAATCTCTCACGATGAAAGAATTAAATTTATTTATATGTTAGTAATAATTTATTCAAGCATGCACGTATATGTTTTTAGAGAATTGTAATCATCATACCTGCAAAGTCTTATTGACTTTCACGGTAATACAATTATCCTAAAGGTCTATGGATATTCAAAAATCTCACATGACCAAAAAATTTAGTGCATTAATTTAAAAAAAAATTATAATTTTATTTATGAAATTTATTTATTTATTTATTTTATAAGTTAATGACCACGACATTTGCTAGGACTTATTATCCTTCACAATGAGGCGATTAAGCTGAATATCTACGGAGATTTTTTTAAATCTCTCACGATACCATTCAAATATTTTAATTGATTGTTTTTGTGAAATAATAAGAACAAACTCCTTCATTTAACCACACATTTAAAATCTCCATATGAAAATGATGTCATGCAAAATCAAAATTATCTTTAAGAATTAATCAATTATTAATAAATGGAAATTAAATACATAATAATGTATGACTTTGAGAAATAAAGAAATAAAAATTAAATTTAGGTTGATTAATACTCTTTCATGCTAGAAGACAAACTTGAATCTTCTTATCACTTAGCTCAATAATAAATTTTTTGTTCAAAATGTTAGAATCAAAAAAACATCATATAAAAGTATTATAACTAAATCAACCTCATTTGTAAAAGCATATAAACACATGTTAGAGCATATTTAAAGTATGCAACATTATTTAGAAAAAAAGAAAGCACAATGTTATAGGGCTACTTTCTCTTCAAATATTTTCACACATGTTTCCTATTCATACTTGAACATTTAAAACCTTTAAATTTTCTTATTTTAAAAATATGAGGAATTATCATCAAGGATCCCTTTCATGATACAAATATACTCACGTATCTATTGCCAGGTTTTAGAACAAGAACAAGATGAAGGAAAATACAAGTGTAGCATACCAAATAGCAGAGTAGAGAAGGGAGAAAAACAACTCAGACTTCTTGCAGTGATGGAAAAGGATGACTAGCTCCCAGTTTTGAACCAAAATGCTGCTCTTTCCTCAAGCAAGATACTGCCTTCGTTCCTTTGGCACAGAGAAAGACATCTACTCCTTTTCCTCTCGTCCTCGTTTTCTCTATTTTTTTTTGTGTTCTTTCTCTTCTCTTTGTGTTCTCATTTTTTATGTCCTTCCTCTTCTGACTATTGCTCTCATCCGTCTCTTCCTCTTTTTTTCTTTTTCCTGGTGCTCTTGTTTTCACATTCTCCCTTCTATTCTCGTCTCAATTTTCCCTCTCGGTTTCTCTCTTGTTTTTTTTCAGCCAAAACCAACTCCTCTTTCCCTTCAGTTCTCTCTCGGTTTCTCTCCTTTTCTCCAGCCAAAACTAGCTCCTCTTTTTCCTATTTCACGTTCAGCTCTTTCCATCCTCCTCTTGCTCTGTTTTTCTTCTCTTTTCCTCTGTACCTCTCTTCTCTGGTTTTCATTCGTCCTCCTGCTCCTGTTTCCTTCCTCTTCTTCTCCTTTTTTTGATGCTCTTATTTTTCTACATTTTTATACTCTAGATCTTTCCCTCTCGGTCTCCTTTTTTTCTCCTTTTTTGCCTTTTCTTTTAATGCTCTGTTTTTCTGAGTGTTTTTTTTGTGCATGCGTGTGCTCAAAGCTCCCTCATTTCTGGCTTTGTTGCATGAGTGGTGCTTCCTCCTTTTTCTCTGCTCTGCATTTTGTTTTTTACAGCAGCTTTCCACGTCTCCCGGTCGTGTGTTTCATATGCAAACTTTAGCCTCTGTGTTTTTTTTCTTTCTTTTTTTCTGCTTTACACCCGATTTGTCAATAATTAAGGCAACTCACCTCTTCCAAGCATAACTCTATTTCAGGAATGAGTATTCTTCAACATACAGCTCCACCACTTACATACAGCTCTCATTAATGGCAGGAAAGAGACAAATCGGGAGGGAAATGTTGGAGCTAATGAGTGTACATGTTATATTTACTTATAGGGGCATTTTCGTCATTTCTTTCGTAATTCTGATTGGGGAAAAACAACATGGGATTTGATTGACCTTTTAAAATTAGTTGGAACTTAACTAATATAAAATTAATATTTTGAGACTTGATTGTCATTTTTTCAAAAATAATTGTTAGTCTATCCAAACTCAATCAATCACACCTACCATTCTTTGGACAAGGCAAGGATCGCTGCTTCGCGTCAACTGTCTGACTATTCAAACTTTGTTTTTGGCCAAACAGCAATAATGGTCTGCTCTGACTATTCAAACTGAATCATCGCTACCAGCTACTGTTCAAACTGAATATATGTGACTTTGGGAACCCAACTAGATTGGTTCGGTGCGTTGCACAAATTCTATGTTGCACAATTGTATGAAGAATATAAGAGATTTATAATTAGGGCTCGTTTGTTTAAATTTATTTAATAAAAAAATCATTTATTTTCTTAAAAAAATTTATTTTATGAGTTTTTATAATATTTGTTTAAAATTTTAAAAATAAGCAAAATAAAAAAAATAAATTTTTTATTATTTTAAAAAGCTACTTTGAGTAGCTTTTAAAATAATTTAATGCGATAAATGAGAGATAGTATTTTAAAGAAGTGACATATATGAAGATATCATAAAATTTTAAAATAATATAATAATATATCATTTTAATAGAACAAAATCAAGAAAGATATCATAAAATTTAAAAATAATTAACTAATAATCAATTTTTCATTATTGTATTCAAATGTAAAATAATTTGTTTATAAAATCTCTACAAAATACATTGCTTTTTAAAAAATCTCTGAACTACATAAATATAATTTATTTTTTAATTTTAAACAAACAAGTCTTAGGACATGGACCAGATTTATATAAATGTCTTTTTCATATCTTTTGATAAAATTTAAATGTAAAAGTCAGTATTTTCACTTTAGTGTTTACAATATTTATTATGATAAAGTTGCTTCTTTCTTTTCTTTTCATCTACGAATTTGTCCAAAAATTGTTTTTTCAATATAAATCTTTTACAATGAAAATAATCTATATAATTTCTACGTAAATTTTTAAAAAGTAATTCCCTTGCGTTGAAGGATATGAAAAAATCTTGATGAAGAAAACTAATGATATTACAACCAAAAAGATAACAGAATTAACACAATTAGATGAAAATCAGCATATTCCGTAGACACAAGGACAATGAATTATTGGACAGAAGGTGTGATGGAAAAAAAAAAAATTAGTATAAGACGTTCTGGCAAGAAATATCCATGTGTGATGCACGGCTTTGATTTAAGAAAATTGTAAGAAATAATAAAGATAATAAAATTTAAAAAAATCTAATTTAACTAATAATTTTGTCTTGATAGAAAAAAAATGAAATATTGTTTAGATATATATTCAATTTTAAGAGTAAATAGAAAAATTATGTGACTTAAATCATCTGCTAAATCATCTGCTAAATCATCCGTAATGAAGTTACCTTAGTAAAGAATTGTTGGAATTCATTTTTAATTTAAAGAAGAAAAACTTGAGATTACCAATCATGTTATACTGTGAATATAATAATATGATAAAGGTTGATAGAACGTCAGTAAACTTTTTTATATCTATTGCGTAAGCTGTATGCTTTTGAAATGTTTTGAAACAAATTGAATTCATACAATATCTTTGAAAAAATAAGGTGCCCCTTTGGTCCTGTATATTAATTATATTTTAAAAATATAATCTGATTTACTTTATAAATTATTAATTGATGAAATTGTTTTATTTCAAATTAAAATTCTCAAATTATCCTTAAAAAGTAAGAGAAAAAATGATAAAAAATAATATTATATTGTTTGTTTACTTTTTACTTTTAATTTGAAGGTTACATTTCAAATTTCACTTACTTTTATTCTTTATACTTTTGTTGTATTGATATTGATGATATTAATAAAAATAACTTATAAATAGGACCGGAAGGAGTATGATGAAATTTTCAAATAGTTAATCCCATGTGATGGGATAGAAGAAATTTCTTAAATCACATGAAAATAATATAAATTGATCTTATAATAAAAAATGATTTAATATAGAGGCACAAATTATAATTTTGATGAAAAACAACTTAACATGTGAATATATGTTAAAGATATGAGTTAGATGTATAAACCAAAACTTTGCAATCTTATGCTTTATATATGTAACAATTAAATTTATATACGAATAAGGAAGATATGGATTATGCTTTCCAAGAAGCCCCATGGATGATTAATGATCATTATTTACTCGTGCAAAGGTGGAGACCAAACTTCAACCCTTGGAAGGCAGACACGCAAAGGAAAATAATAGTGTGGATTCGTATACTAGACCTGCTAATCGAGTTTTATAATGTGGAGTCCTTATGGAGGATTGGGAATATGATAGGTAAGACTCTTAGGATTGATCTTTCAACCTCTATTTATGATAAAGGGGGTTTTGCCTGAATATGCATTGAGGTAGATCTCCAGTAACCTTTGCTCTCAGTCTTTGAAGCTTTTGGTGAAGATCAACTAATAGTTTATGAGGGTCTACATTTGGTTTGTTATAGATGTGGGAAATATAGGCATCAATGCAAGGAATGTCTTTTAGACCAAGGAACCAATAGAGAAGATACAGAAACCAGAGATGGT